GTATGGAGGCAAACACCACTTGCGCTCCAGACCCTCTAACCAGCTGTCCCAGGGCCCTGAAGTCTCTCCTCATTGCCCTTGCCCTGCTTGTAATAATTTCATCACTGCCAACCTGAAAAACCAGCAGCAGATAGTAGTCAGAGGGCTGCACCAGATCAGAGAGTTTCCTTTTAACATCTCCAATCCGAGCCCCAGGTAGGTAGCAGACTTCCCTGTGGGATGGATCAGGTCGACAAATGGGCCCTTCTGTTCCCCTCAGAAGGGAGTCACCCACCACAGTTACTCTTCTTTTCTTCTTCGTTGAGGAAGTTCTAAGGCATGGGGGTGAGTGACAAGCCCTAGGTGACTTACTGGATGGATCTACCCCATCATCACCATTTACCTGGCCCTGTAGTTCCAAGACCTCATACCTGTTACTCAAGGGCAACTGGGAGAAAGGAAGGGATTGCGAGGGTTTTCGCTTACCTCTCTGAGAAGGGACTTCCCTCCATGCTTCCTTGTCCCTGAAGTTCACTCTTTCTATCTGATGGTAGGAGGGAAGGCGATCTATCACTTGTTCAACCACTTCCCTCTGCCCTTGCCTTAGGGTGTGGCTCCACCAATCAATTTCACTTTCACACTCCCTGATAGCTCTCAGCCTTTCAACATCCTCCCTCAGTTCAACCACCTGCTTTAGCAGGTCATCTATTTGCTCACACCGCACACAAGCGGTGTCACTGGCTCTCTCCGATACAAGTGCCAGGCTCAGGCATTCACTGCAGCCAGAGACCTGCACAGCCCCATGTCTGCAGGAAGGCTCAGTCTGGGTACCCACGTTATTCCTAACTACAGGTTTTGATCGAGTGGTGACCATGATCTCTCTGGTTGATTGGTCCATCTATGTCTCTTTGCACAAGCAAGCAGTCCTTCCTCCTCCTGCACTCCAGTCGAGTCCTCTTGATCAGGCGGTCACCCCACTCCCCTGCCCACGTGAACTGCCTCAACCCACTCAACCCACTTTGTTTGCCGTGCTCCTGGTCGCTCGTGCTCCCTGTGCAGGTTTTTAACCGTTCACAGCTGCCGCCGAGCCTGCTGGCTCCACCCTCGGTGAGTCAGCTGCTCGTGAGAGCTGAGCTGCCAGCTCCTGGGCAAGTCCTGTTGAGGACTTGAGGCTCCCTCCTCAATGGCTTTTGTTGCTCTGAGTTGAGGCTCTTGGACGCTGATCTCTCCCCACTCCACTCCGGTGTTGCAGGCGTCCTCTCTCAATCTACTCATCTCAGCAATTGACCCAATGTCTAATCTATATCTACCCTCTTTCAGTTTCAAACCATTCCCCCATATATTTGCACTTCTTTGAAAGATGTTCAAAAAATTTCTAAGAAATTTTGTTTAAAGAATATCCATTCTTCCTCTGGATATTAAAAATCTATGTATGTATATAGAAACACAAGCATATTTTTATGTGAAATTTAATTCACCATGGAGAATTATCATCTAATGGTGAGGGCCTTGTATTGCAGAAAAAGACAAGACTGTATTAAAAGAAATTGCACATTCATTATCATGGTAAAATTCATTATTTGTTTGGATATCTTTACCTGGCTAGACTTGCTTAGACTTGATCTTACTGACTTACTTGTCGTAGTAGGTCAAGTAGGTCAAGTATCTAAAAGCAGAAAGGATACAAGGGATGAATTCAACCCTCACACTTAATATTGTTTTATACATATGTGTATGTGCATGTATATGTATAGAAATACATACTTTAAAAGTCAATATGGCATAAAGAGAAGTCTTAACATCATTCCAATGTACAAATTGCTAGCATAACATTATACACCACTGGCCCCCTTGCTCATACACAGTTTCATAGTTCACTTATTCCATACATGTGTCAAACAATTTATTGTTTTATCTCATGAACTCTAGTGCATCCTTTTGCAATGGTTCAGTTCCCTGTAAAGACATGGAAGTTTCAATATAAATACATCTTGGCAAATAAAGAGCTTTACAGGTCAGGCCTGTGGGTTAACTGCAGAGGACCAGGTACTTCCACCAATAACCAAAAATATTCTATGAACTCCAATGGGAGGTATTCTGAGTAATTATATCTTTATCTATATAAATATACGAGTTTTGTATAAAGATTAAGATTCTGATGTGGAGCAGCAATTAATTCCATGACTAATTACACTAAAATTAGTTAGGAGTCAGACATCTATTTTTCAACATAAGTATATGAGAATTTGGCCTCTGCAATCCATCATCAAGCGCATTTTTTCTTACCTTACTATACTGTCTCAGACATGGGTGAGCACTACACACTCACAGCATATGAGATTTTACCATGGAAATTAACTACTTAAATGTGTATTTTTGAGAGGGAAATAAGTCTGATAGTTTATACAAATGCAGTAATTTCATTTTCTGTCCATCAAATCTTTTCCAGTGTTTGTCAATTGTTTTTCAATTCCTATTCTCACATTCCAGCTATAGAACCTCATTTAATTTTTTCCGACTGCACTTTCCCTACAACTCTGTCTCTTGTTTTATTGTTTCTTCTGGATCTGTTGATATTATTTTATTTATATATCAGACTTACTGTGTATGTCTATGTGTTAGGGAAAATGCGAGTGCTTTACTGCCCAGGACCTGTGCAGCTAGCAACAAACAAGCAAACAAACAAATAAACAAATAAATATAGATTTATTGAATAATCAATTAATTAACAAAATGTGACAAGTGAGCTAACTGTGAAGGTATTGCAACTTTTAGTAGTTATGGTAGTTATTATTAATGTTAATAGCAGCTGTCTTTTGGGTTTGGGAGCATGACAGAGAATTTCTTATATTCCTTATAAGTTTGTGTTTTTTTTTTCTCTGCCCAAGCCAGTAATAAAGGGAAATTGTCTTGGATTTGTTAATGTTCTGGGCACACTGAAGCCCTCCTCCTCCATTCCACTCTCCTTATTTCCCTTTTTTTATCAAATATTCGTTGATGTGGGTAGAGTCTGGTGTATTTGTAGGCACGCATGGGGGAAATTGTCCAAAGCACTGGATCAACACCTACAATTCCCAACTTTGAAGACATAAATGTAAATAAATATTAAAACTGGAATAAGATCAAAATTAGTTCTGGACTGCCAAACTGATTTAAGGAGGTAATAATCTTCAGTTGATTAAAACTGTAAATATAAGTAAGGTACATAAACATTAAAGTTGCAGGATGTCTCTTGCATCTTTCATTCTTATGCAATATTACAGTATTTAATTTCAGCACTAAATATTATTATCATATTTTCCCAGTGCAAAAAATTCTTCCCCCAAAACACAATGAAAATAAGAAACCAGAAGTCATTATACAGAACTGAGCAAGACAGTTATATATACCAGTGAACCCAGGAGCAAAAAGCAGATCATGATATTCTTCAAAACCTTCAGTCTTGATCCTCTTGTCAGATAAACTCTTCTCACTTTAAGGTGATTTATGGGTCCTTCAAAAGGTCTTGTCCAAAAATGATTAGGACATATTTTACCAAAAGAGTGGTGATAGCAGTGTATAAACTATTTAACTGATGTGGAATTTGATGAATAGCTAAAACAAGCCATAGTAACATCAACTTTAGAAACACACATCCTATTAGTTGAACTTTGTATAAAATAATGAAAAACTCCCCAAATTTTATTGTAAGAAAGGATAATAAACTGATTAAGTTCTTTACATTAATATTATAGAGAGTATAGCTCCTCTCTGCGCTGGTTTTGGCTGGGATACAGTTACTTTTCTTCATGATAGCTAATATGGGGCTGTGTTTCGGATTTGTGTTGGAAACACTGTTGATAACACAGGGATGTTTTAGTTACTGTGAGCAGTGCTTACACAGAGCCTTTTCTGCTCCTCACCCCACCCTACAATGAGTAGGCTGTGGATGAACAAAGAGTTGGAAGGAGACACAGCTGAGACAGCTGACCCCAACTGAACAAAAGGATGTGTTGTACCATGTGTTACAGAACATATATGGTTCACATATAAAGCTGAGCAAAGAAGGAAGGGGAGGATGCTGGAAATAATGGTGTTTGTTTTCCCAGGTAACCATTATGTGGGATGGAGCCCTGCTGTCCTAGAGATGGCTCAACATCCAGCTGCTGATGGGAAGTGGTGAATGTGTTGATATGTTTACACACACAGCTTTTCATTTAACTATTAATCTGTCTTTACCTTATCCCACTGGGAGGGGAGGGAGCAAGTGGCTGTTTGATGCTCTCCTGGGTTCAGCAGTAGCAGTCATTTTTCTCTTTCTTAGTAACTGGTGCAATGGTGTGGTTTTGGCTTTCAGCCTGGGAACAGCGCTGATAACACCAATGGTCTTAGTTGTTGCTTAGTAACGTTTACTCCTACCAAGGGTTTTCTGAGTCTTATGCTGTGCAAGGGAGAAGGGGAAGCCAGGAGGAAGCAGAGACAGGACACCTGACCCAAACTAGCCAAAGGGGTATTCCATGCCGCAGCACGTCATGCCCAGTATATAAACTGGGGGCAGTTACCCAGAAGGGCTAGATCACTGCTTGGGTTGTGCTGGGTATCAGTCAGCAGGTGGTGAGAGGTTGTATTCTCTTCCCTTGTTATTTCCCTTATCATTATTATTATTATTAGTGGTAACTGTAGTGGTTTGTGTTATACCTTAGTTACTGGACTGTTCCTATCTCAACCCCTGGGAGTTATATTCTTTCAATTCTCCTCCCCATCCGTCTGGGAGAGGAAGGAAGAAGAATGGGGGTAGGGGGGAGTGAGCAAGCATCTGCGTGATTCTGCATTACTGTCAGGGCTTAAACCACAACAGATACTTAAATGCCAGCTATGTGAAAACTTAGTTGCTACTTAGTTGTCACCTGAGTTTAAAACATGTGTCATGGTTTAAAACCAGTCAGGCAGGCCGTTCACTCACTCCCCCCCCCCCTCTTTTTGCCCTCCCCCTGCTCCTGGAGGGATGGGAAGGAGAATCAAAAGAGTGCAGCTCCCACAGGTTGAGATAAGAACAGTTTAGTAACTAAAAGATAACACAAATCACTACTGCTACCACCAATAATAATAATGATAAAGGAAATAACAAGAGAATAGAATACAACACTTCAGCACCAGATGACCGGTAACTCGCCCCACTCCATCCAACCAAGCACCGACCAATACCTCGTTCAACCCCGCAGTCCCTAGCCCATCCGGGTAACTCTCAGTTACATCCTGGGCATGATGTGCTGTGGTATGGAATACCTCTTTGGCTAGCTTGGGTCAGGTGTCCTGTCTCTGCTTCCTCCTGGCCTCCCCTCCTCCCGGGCAGAGCATGAGACTTGGAAAGTCCTTGGCCAGACTAAAACATTTGAGCGGTAACTAAAACATCGGTGCTCTCAGCACCATTCCCAGGCTGAAAGTCAAAACCACAGCACAGCACCAGCTACTAAGAAGGAGAAAAAATGACTGCTGCGGCTGAACCCAGGACACCATTACAGCTCCTTATGGTGTAATATAGCCTTTCATGCAAAATAAGTCTCATTCTGATGCCTTAACTGTTTTACAATGACTATAAAAGCCTTATATATCATATGACCAAGTTTACTTTTAGCAGGAATTATGGATTTAACTCTGCACTCAGTTTCATTGAAGTAAATCAGAAAAAATATAATTCAAGTTACATCAACTTCACTAGTTAGCTAAAACTGTGCATTCTGGCTTAGTTGAAAAAGAAGCTTCTGTTTTACTAATCTGACAGATAATAAAAGGCACAGTAAGTGAATGGCCAATCGAGCTATCACCTTGTACATGAAAAATTCCCACAAAGTTAATTAGTATTAGCATGAAAGGCAGGTTCTAAATGTGAATTTTGGCTGCAAGAAACAATGGAGGGATTTTCAGAGAGCTTTACTAATCTACTGTTTCCATAAATATAAAGTACATTATTGTTGTTAGTAATGTATTAGTGGTGGTAAACTTAACATTTGCTCAATTCTTTCTTCCTCCATTCTTTAGCTTTCTCACTACATTAAATAGCATTTGAATATCTCTCTTTTAGCAGTTTCTTTTGCAAATAGCATGAGACAATGTAGAATTTTCTTGGCAGTCTAATCAATGAGAGGCAGAGTATTTTACCAGCACAAAGAAAACATATTTTAAATTGAGAATTATTGTTAACCTCTTCATCCTTACTGTTGAACTGTGCAGGCCCTTATCATATTAGAACTGCACAGCCTAGAAGAAGGGTAATTGCATCATCAGTCTCTCTTGGTCTCTGCCTCAGCCCTTTTAACACACTCATCCTTTCCATTACTTCATGATTTCATTTAATATTCTCCTGGGTTAGAAGCATATCAGCAGCAAGAACATCCTGAAGTAACAGTTGCTGTATGCTTTATTCCAGAATGCCTTTCCTGTAGATTAAAATGCAATTAACATTTTTTTCATAAAGAGTGTCCTTTTGAACATTTATGTCCAAATAGATGAATACTGAATTTTTATTTTAGAGTTCGAATTTGAAATACAAACAGGTAACATAATCCTGTCTTTAATAAAATTACAAAGCATGACTTTCGATATAAAATAATCCTTTAGGTACCAAGTGCCCTTGCATTCCCTTCAGAGTTAAAGTTATTTAAAGGCCTTAACATAGTGGCAGTTGCATGCCTGTGTATATCTTTTTTATTTTCTTCTCTTGCATTTTTTTGAGTGGACAGATAATGTACTTGCTGAAGATGAGAAATGCTGATTTTTGCTTGAAATTTACATTGGCAACAGGTGGGATCCCTGCTTTTCATGATTTCAAAGGACAGAGTATATGGAAATGTAGAGAACCTTATTATTAATTGATGCAAATCTTCCTTTTTAAAATATATTATATATTTTCAGGTGTCTATACCTGTAATAATAAAAAATAGATACCAAAATAAAACAGATGAAATTGATTAGGAAAAAAAAAAAAAAGAGCTGACAGAGATAGCAAGTGATCTGCTATTTTTATCTCAAATATCTCTTGCTCCCTAATGGTGCATATGTGTCTCTGTATAGACAGACACAGATATTATATAAATTCTATAAGTTCTGTGTCTGTAGGTACAAAGTCTTACACCGGCAGAGCCCCCTTGATAATTACAGGCAAGAAAATTAACATCCAGAACTTACCGATAAAAATAATACTTCCATTAAAGTCCCCTCAAAGGTCAAGATTCTGTCACTGGTATTCATAAAAAGTGTTTGAATAGTCTTATTTCAATAATAGCACTGCTTACAGAGCTGAATATTGTCTGCAAGAGAGGAAGAAAAAATCTAACTTAAAGACCTTTAAAAATGTTTGCTGTTGGGATAGTACAGTTCTCTAATGACATTTGTCTGAACTTGGTATTTAGATGAGGTTCTGCCCAAACAATGCCTTAGGAACCAGTTTGGGTTCCTGTTTTGCTTGCAATGCTATATATTTCCTTCACTACTCTGATGCTGTCCTTCTATGTTATAACTTGCAGTAGCAGCATTATTTCTTCAGAGAGTGACAGAGGGAGCAGGATGGAGGTAGGAACCAGACACTGCTGCAACAATCTTAAGGGAACATGTTACTTCAGGGAGGAATCCCCGAAGACCTAATGCTTCTGTAGTCAGCCTGACTTTTTTTCTTTAGCTTCACAATTTGTCTTTTGGGAGAAAGAGGATGTATGTAGCAGGAGGTAGCAAGATAATACTCTAAAGAGACATGCCACCAAAACCAAATACAAGCAAAGTATGTTGTGAGTTGAGACTGGTGGCAACTGATACCAATGATTTCCAGATCCATTTACTGACAAGCTGAATTTCTTTAAAGAGGAATCATAGAATCATAGAATAGTTAGGGTTAGAAAGGACCTTAAGATCATCTAGTTCCAATCTCCCTGCCATGGACAGGGACACCTCACACTAAACCATGTCACTCAAGGATCTGTTCAACCTGGACTTGAACACCACCAGGGATGGAACATTCACAAGTTCCTTGGGCAACTCATTCCAGTGCTTTACCACCCTCACAGTAAAGAACTTCTTTCTTATATCTAATCTAAACTTTCCCTCTTTTAAGTTTTAACCTGTTACCCCTTGTCCTATCACTACAGTCCCTAATGAAGAGTCCTTCCCCATCATCCTTATAGGCTTCCTTCAGATACTGGATTGTTCATTGCAGTGGGAAGAAAAGATGCATACAAGAAAACTTCATATACACAAAATAGTAAAATAGTAATTTTTGTATTCAGTTAATGCACAGTATCATTGGAACTACTTTATGTTCACTTGAAAACAGCAATGAATACAAAAGATCGAGAATTTTTAAAACACATTTCCACTGCTTTCCTTAGTCATATCTTTCATTTTACTCTGATATAGGACTTTTAACTTCATTTCTTATTAATTGTGTAATTTTAAAACATCTTGAAGATTAAACAAAGGTCTCTCCCAATACTTAAACTTATATGATGTTTTGATCATATAAATTTGAGATTAAACTAGACCATTTTAGTTTAATACTAAATCAAATCAACTTAGATTTTACAAAACTTCCTTCCAACTATTTTCCTGAGGAACATAGTAAATCAATTAATTTTGTATTGAAGAGCTATAAGGGTAAATAATGCAAGAACCTTTATTAACCAGAAGTTCATATTGTCATTTCAGATGATAACTTCCCCTGTTTAAGTTTTAACCCGTTACCCCTTGTCCTGGCACTACAGTCTCTAATGAGGAGCCCCTCTCCAGCATCCCTATAGGCCCCCTCAGATACTGGAAGGCTGCTGTGAGGTCTCCACGCAGCCTTCTCTTCTCCAGGCTGAACAGCTCCAACTTCCTCAGCCTGTCCTCATACGGTAGGTGCTCCAGTCCCCTGATCACCCTCCTGGTCCTTCTCTGGACTTGTTCCAACAGTTCCATGTCCTTTTTATGTTGAGGACACCAGAACTGCACACAATACTCGAGGTGAGGTCTCACAAGAGCAGAGTAGAAGGGCAGGATCACCTCCTTTGACCTGCTGGTCACGCTCCTTTTAATGCAGCCCAGGATACAGTTGGCTTTCTGGGCTGCAAGCACACACTGCTGTCTCATGTTCATTTTCTCATCAACCAGCACCCCCAAGTCCTTCTCCGCAGGGCTGCTTTGAATCTCTTGTCTGCCCAACCTGTAGCTGTGCCTGGGATTGCTCCGACCCAGGTGGAGGACCTTGCACTTGTCATGGTTAAACCTCATGAGGTTGTCATCAGCCCACCTCACAAGCGTGTCAAGGTCCCTCTGGACGGCATTCCTTCCCTCCAGTGTATCGACCGAACCACACAGCTTGGTGTCATCGGCAAAACTGCTGAGGACACACTCAATGCCACTGTCCATGTCAGCGACGAAGATGTTGAATAAGACCGGTCCCAACACCGATCCCTGAGGGACACCACTCATTACTGGTCTCCAGCTGGACATTGAGCCATTGACCACAACTTCTTGTGTGCTGCCATCCAGCCAGTTCTTTATCCACCAAGTGGTCCATCCATCAAATTGATGTCTCTCCAATTTAGAGACAAGGATGTCATGTGGGACAGTGTCGAATGCTTTGCACAAGTCCAGGTAGATGACATCAACTGCTCTACCCCTGTCCATCAGTTCTGTAGCCCCATCAGAGAAGGCCACCAAATTGGGCAGGCAGGATTTCCCCTTAGTGAAGCCATGCTGGCTGTCACCAAGCACCTTGTTGATTTTCATGTGCCTTAGCATGCCTTCCAGGAGAATCTGCTCCAAGATTTTGCCAGGCACAGAGGTGAGACTGAGTGGTCTGTAATTCCCCGGGTCATCCATTTTCCACTTCCAGAAAATGGGGGTTATATTTCCCTTTTTCCAGTCATCGGGAACTTCACCTGACTGCCATGACTTTTCAAATATGATTGCCAGCAGCTTCGCAACTTCATTTGCCAGCTCCTTCAGGACCTGCGGATGGATCTCATCAGGACCCGTGGACTTGTGCACGTTCAGATTTTTAAGATGGTCTCGAACCAGATCCTCTCCTACAGTGGGCCTAGGGTCTTCATTCTCACAGTCCGTGCATCTGCCTTCCAAGACCTGGGTGGTGCAGTCAGAGCCTTTGGCAATGAAGACTGAAGCAAAGAAGTCATTCAGAACCTCAGCCTTCTCCAAATCCTGTGTAGCCAGTTTTCCTGCGAGCTTCCTGAGG